GGCGGGGCGGGGCGGGGGCAAGTGCACCCGGGGGCTGTTAATGGAACCTGCCCTGGGGTCGCGCACCACGCCGCGGAGCGCCGCCGGCCCGAGGCCCGGCCGCACGTGAGCGCCGCCGGACACACATAAATAACAATGGCGACAGAGATTTATCGGCCGGCGGACGCCTCCGTTGTCAGCATGAGCCGAGCCGCCGGCCTGGAACACACTCGCGCCCGGGCCCCGCCCCCACGTCCTTACGTTTCAGTTAGGTGGAGAGTACCCCTACCCACTTCTTCTCCCTCTCCCTCCCTCCCTCCCTCCCTCCCTCCCTCTCTCTCTCTCTCTCTCTCTCTCTCTCTCTCTCGCTCTCTCTCTCTCTCCCTCTCTCACGATCCGCGCCGCCAACGCCGCCGGCGGCGCGGGGCAGACGGCCCGGAAGGGCAGCGCTTTATCGCTGTCGGCGAGGTGTTTCATCAAAAGCCTCAAAGTTGAGTGGGCGTTATTTCGGCCTGGGAGCAGCCGTTCTATCAAACGGGCGGCGCCAGCAGCGCGGCCAGACCGGCGGGAGGAAGTGGGGCGCGTACACTTGTAGTAACGGCGTACCGCCAGCAGTCCAATAACGGGTACCAATGCGTACTGCTGGCTTAAAAAAATAGTAGTTAACCAGTAATAAGAAAACGACAACTGAATTTTGACGCACAAATAGAGTCACCCGGCTTGGTACTTGTATACACACTGAGAGAAATCTTTCTTTCCGGACTCTAAACGTTCAATTAATGCTCCCGACTTTTGTTTCGGCTCAAAATGACATATTTGCCTAACATGGAGTTTTTGTGCAGTGCACTAAATTTTCTTTGCCTGATGATTCCGCGTTTAGCTACCAGCGCTAATGCTACGAAAAAGCCGGAAAAAGCTTAATTCGACCTGGACACTAAACGTAAAGTGCTCAATAAGATTTTTTTTCTCTGGGCAATCGTGACTTACCTCCTTTGGGGCACTTATTTTAATTTAAGTCATCGCTAACGAACCACTAATTCGTGCACTTTGTTACGGACTGACTTTTCCCACGGACGGAGCGGGGGGAGGGGCGATAACGCGGGCCACACAGACGCGCACGCCGCGCCGGTGTGGTGTAGGGGGAGCAGTGAGCCCCCCCTCCCTCCCCCCCCCCTACCGGTGTCCCGCAGCTCTACTGCCCTTGTCCTTGTCCAGCAGCAGCGGGGCGCGGCGCACGCACAACGGCGCACCGAACACAACTCGTATAGGCGGACACAAAATGAAGAGCGGGGAACGGAGAGCGGGGTGACCGAGGCGGGGGAGGGGGTTCCAACCTAATCAGCCCTCTGTGGCGCTCCGGATGGCGGGAGGGGGGGAGGGAGGGGGAGGCGGGGGTCGAAGCGGGGGCCTAATCCCGTTTGAGGGGATGGAGGGGGAGGGATCCGCCGGGCACCGCACTGAAGCGCACGGGGCGGCCAAAGCACAGCAGGGTGGGTGCGAGGGGAGCTGCAGGGGCTGGAAGTGGGGTAGGGGGGGAGTTGAGCAGTTTCACAGTCCGACCGTTCCGGGACATTGCACCCCCCGCCCTTATCTTTAATGAATGAAAACACACCTGGCAGGCG